AAAATAATACTGCAAGAGACTAGATATCGATCAAACCTAAAAAAAAACCGTGAAAGTATATATGTGCTCCGGGCTTATCTTTGATCATGTTGCATATGATCAATCAAAACATATTAATTTTGATAAACTAGCAACAGCGGACGAGATGATGGTTAAGAAAACGCAACATATCTGTGCTGCAGATTATTTCATAAATGTTAACATTATGAAAAACTTTAAACCTTCGTGGACATGCAATAATGCCTTTAAACAGTCTTTGTTCAATTAATCCGTTTTTGTGAAATCAATTTTATGTCAAGGAAAGCAGGATAGAAACACTATTATCTGGAATATCGTATCAACTGCATGTACGAGATAGAAATTTCATATGTTTGTGCTGCTATCTTGTTGCTACCTTAAATTCGAAAGTTCACAATTAAAAAAATTGAAGTCATCCCATTTGTGTTTGTTTGATCCTTAACCGACACTTACTTTCTGGATGTTTATGCGTAAAAAGAGATATTGCGTACAATATCAACATGTATATTGTAAGTCATGATCATATAAAACACCTGTTCTTCGTAATTCGTATATTGAAACAAATGTTCAAGAAGGTGTCAGCTTTGTCATCAAACGAAGACTTGATGATTGACAAATATTAAATTATTAGGTATGTTCTTAAAAAGGTGCAGATGTAAACATGAGAGACATGCTAGCTTCTTTTTATTTTTTCAGAAACAAGTGTTTGACGTTTGAAATTTTAACACGTGTTATTATATGAAACCTGATGTATAAAACCCCTAAGCAGCCCAGGTACGCATGCTTAGCGGCCCCTGCTAGTTCACTAATCCCCATTTGCCAGGGAAAATACAAATGGGAGATTATTTCATATTTTTATATTTTGAAACACTTTGAATTTACAATAATTATAATTTTCTAATCGTCTTCTATGGAGTAAAGTTTCTCTTTCTTGACTGAAGTGGCAAATATCATATGAGTTTTTTCATTTTTTTTGTCTTCTGTATAAATAATTTTGTGCAGTAGCTTCCAATAAAGTTTTGTTGCTTTTCTATAAGCAACATATTCGTTAAAACAGTTCCAAATGAGTTACTAAGGCATCTTACATTCAAAATACAGTCCCCATTGTAGTTCACAGTTTGGTACAATAGAGGTATCAAAGAAATATTGAATATTTTATAAACGTAATTTATTTACTTCTATGTTTTCATTATTTTTGTAAAATGGATGGGGTTTTTAACTTTGAAAAATTCATAAGAGTTTGAAGGAATGCTATGTTTAGATTTTAATATATTAATAATGTCAGATGTGAACGCTTGTTTGATTCGACTTAGCTCTGATATCGAATTTTTTTTATTGATAAGTCGATTGAATATTTCAACTGATGCTCTAAAACATTTCATAGTTACATCTCAGAAATCATTTTCAGTTTTAATCCCACTTTTTTGAAAAAAAAATGCATAATATATTTAATTCCACTTTATTGTAAAAATTAAAATTCCCCAAAATATTTTCGTCTAGTAATTCTTCTATCGTCACACATGTTTGTACTTTTATGAATTCTGCCCATGAGACCAAGAGATTGATGTAATATTTTGACATTTTGATTTAACCAACTCAGTTTATATCAGTCAGGGACGTTACTTTAAAAAGTTATTTTTTTTACTTATAGGTGTAATACCACTAAATCATATTACGTCACATCAGGTTGCATACGAGAAAGGGTCGGAAAAAAAATATTCCCTTGAATTTGACTGTTGTAGGAAATTAATCCTATACTGTAAATTCAGAAATTATTGCGATATTTTTATTATTGCGAAAAATGCGACAGTGTTATAATCGCAATAATTTAAACTTGCATTTTGAATTTTTTTATTTGAATTAAACAGGATTGTTCTCAATATCGCAAAAATTAAAATCGCATTTAATTCTAAAATGGCAAAATCGCAATAATAAATACACGCAATAATTTATGAACTTACAGTATTTCATTGCAGTAAAAAAAATTCTGAGTCATAAACATATATCTTAGGTGTTTCAAAGCACCATTCTTTTGGTGTTTCTATAGAATATTTTAGGGTTACATGGTTACTAAAGCTTGTACACAGGGAACATAGGGGTGAAAATTTGATTGGTTAACTTCCAGTGATGGTTTTTATCTTATATGCAATGAAATGTTATGTGGATGTTGTCTGTAGTACTGGAAAGGATTAAACTTTACCCATGCCAAGTATTTCTTTATTTGAAACAAAGATAAATACTGCACAATATTTAAAAAGTGCAAATTTAACATAGACTAATTAGGAAAAAAACAATGGTGGTATTACACCTATTATGGGACGCTGCTTATGTACCTTGTATGTACTCTCATTTGTTAAAATTGTATGCTATTTAAGAGAAATATTACAAAAATGAAATATTCTGAGTGGATTGAGTCTAAAAAAAAACAAATTTTATAAGACAATTGCCTTGAAATAGGACTCTACCATGAATATTAGTAGAAAGAGCAAGCCACACTCAGTGTTTTTTTGGGAGCTTTTTCTTACTTTTTCTCCTTAGTTCTTAAATTTTGCTATAAAGAAAACGTTTTCCTAAGTAATACTTTAATAAATATACAGTTATAAGTAAATGAAATTATTTTTGAAGCAGTAACAACAAATTATTCACTAAAAAGGAAGCTTTTTATGTCCATCTCTGGAGCGCGGCGTAAATTGAAGTTTTACGTAAGGACTTATTGAAATCTCAATGGAGTTAGTAAACTTTTATATGGATAGCTCATTCAGCTTGAATACTTCAATTACTCATTTATTATCACATTTCTTTCATAAATGTGTGAAAGTTACCCCAAAATTTAGATTTATTGGCCTCAAAAATTGAAATTTATAGGAAATGAAAGGTATAAATGGACCAAAAAGGGTATATAATTAAGACAAAGAGGTCCATTAGAGGTATTTATCACCCTAGAGTCATCTTTTGTATCATATTCAACTGTTTGTATGCAGATGAGATAAGTATTTGACCCTTTAATTGTCCACACTATATTCTATCATAATGCCATTTGATTTGGATTTTTGGAAGAAATTTTGCTTGAATCGCTGTAAATGTCTTCTTACATTATACTAGATTTTTCTCAAACTATACAACTGATTATGACAAAACTTGACAGTAATGCTTGAAGTAACCAGTATTACAAAGGGAAAAAATCACATTCATTTTATTTAACAAAAAAGTCTTCTTTAGGTGTAATACCACCAAATCATATTACGTCACATCCGGTTGCATACGAAAAAGGGTCGAAAAAAAAATATTACCTTGAATTTGACAGCTGTAGGAAATTAATCCTACATTTCATTGCAGTAAAAAAAAATCTGAGTCATAAACATATATCTTGGGTGTTTCAAAGCACCATTCTTTTTTTATTTGGTGTTTCTATAGAATATTTTGGAAACTTGAGGTTACATGGTTACTAAAGCTTGTACACAGGAAAAATAGGGGTGCAAATTTAATTGGTTAATTTCCAGTGATGGTAATTATCTTATATGCAATGAAATGTTATGTGAAATATTGTCTGTATTACTGGACTGGATAAAACGTTACTCATGCCAAGTATTTCTTTATTTGAAACAAAGATAAATACTGCAGAATTTTTGAAACGTGCAAATTTAACAAAGACTAATAGGGGAACAACAATGGTTGTATTACACCTATATAGGTAATTTTTGTTTTTAAAAATTATTCAATTACTCAATAGAGTTATTTTGAATTTCAATAGAAGCATGGACTTAATGCAGTTTTTATGAAATTTTACATCCTTTTATCACATGAAATGACGAATTTATTAAATTTGAGATGAGTATATAAAGATACAAGGTTACTTTAAAAAAAAATTACAAAAATATATCTTGTTTAAGTTATTTTATACATCTTTGAAAGAATTAGTAATTACAATTATTTAAGGAACATACGCAATAATTGTTTTGGGTTACACATCATAAATAACTTCAAGTCTTAATTAAATCACAAGTTTCTATCTATTTCTATCTGTCTATCTCAAGATTTTCAAGGAATATGTTATTTTGATAGTCCCAAGAGACCCATCTTTGAACCTGAAGCGTCGATATGAAAGATAAGTTCGTCAGAAAGGCAATTAGTGTTTCAGGAGGATTAGTTTTATACTTCATGGGAAAAATAACTAGATGCCTGTGAAAATTTGCTAAAGCTAGTAAACTTTGTATGAATCGACAGCTATAAGAATAATATTTACAAAAGTTTCTTATATAATTAATATTTAAAATAGCCTCGTTTTCAACATAATTTGTATAGGTAATTTTAAAAGTTACTTGTTTAAGTAATGCCCTCGACTGTATATCGGAGCAAGTACAAAATTAATGAAAATGATATAAGTATTTAATAATTAAGTGGTTAGTATTTAAAACTTCGTCAGCATTTGTTTTTGACATCGAAATGAGTTTTGAGGATTTCTATATATATTTCATAATTTAGAATCTTGTGCTGAATGCAAGTCTATGGCGTCCGTATGCATGCAGTCAATCTGTGTTAATAGGCATATACTTACAATTCACACAATTCGTACTATTTGCCTTTTTCATACAATCCCCCCTCCCTGCCTAACAATAAACACATACTAATGTAGATTTATCCTATGGTTTGTTGAATTGAGTCAGTAATTGACGGTCAGATAGTAAAGTTATTATTATAAAAGTATTATAGAATTTGTTAATTGTTTAAGCACGAAATTTTATTCTTGTTCTTCGATGTGTAGATTTGCAATTCCAGCGATTCTGGTGAAATGGTCCGTATTGAACTTACAGTGTGGTGCAATATTCTGCTCTGTGTTCAAGCCTTGCTGCCAATTTAAGATTATGTAGATCCATACAAGCTTTGTTCCTTGCTATTTTGTATGTCAAGTGTGTGTAAGAACTTTGTTCTTGGATTTTATGTCAATCGATTGTAGGGATTGTGTGCAATATATAAATACAACAAAGGTATAAGTCTCATTTATTAATACTTTGAAATGTATCGACAAATACAGTTTGAATGTGAAAAATGCTACATGTAAAATAACCAAGTGATAAAATTCGACTTCAAAGATGAATATAATATGCTAAGCACCATTTTCCGTGTCAGTGACATTATCAATTCATCGAACTTTGAAATATTTAAAAGATATAGTAAAAATTTTGAGTGCTATGAAACTGTCAATTTGAAAATAATCAGATAGCTTTCATAATTATGTAATATGTGAGATACAACATGTATACAACCCTTTAAAATGTTATACTGATGAGTTGTGTACAACTATTGCATTTTTATACTAAGAGCTATGTAAAGAAGTGTGCAAAGTCTTGTACAATAATACAACTAAGGTTTTTACACCTTCAAATTCTTTTCATTAAATGTACGATTTGAAACATTTTTCAATGTCTTACTAAAAAAAAGTGACATATAAGCTCTTACATAATTCATGTCTGATTAAAGAACCACTGCTGTTGGTGCTATATAATACCTTCGTGTTCTTAAATTTAAAATTGAGACACAAATTCGTTTGGCTGTTTATTAAGAACACTTTCAAACCTTTTTGCAATGCATTTAAAGTCACTTAAAAAATCCTTAAATTCTTGAGAGCTAATCATCATGATCATTGCATTTGGTCTGTATATAATGACATTATAGAGTCTACGACATCTTTCTATATCATCTCCTAGTGATATCTCGTGCTGCTGAGGATCAGTGGGGTTGTTCCAGCCCCTCGTGGGGAGAATATCAAGGCGAAAGTTTCGCAAAATTGTATATATAAGAGGTAAATCAAAATCAATATATCCTTTATTCTTAGCATCATTTATTTTTTTCAAATCTGAAGGTTTCAGTCGTTGTGTCCATTTTTGATTTCTCACTTGAGCCACAAGAGTTCTCGGTGGTATGAAATATTCCAAAACTTCTTTCAACATATTTTGTGTTATATGTTTAACAGCAATAATCAGACGTGCATAGTTGGCGTTTGGCGATAATACATGACCTAAAATATATATTGATACTGTTTAATGATTCAAACCATTTTCTGATATACGGTTTCCAGATTTATGAAATAATGAAATACAATTACAAATTACTAGAAGCTCCATGGAGCATATAAAACCAACCTCACATTTTGGTACAATGCAGTTGAATAATAGCCAACATTCGTTTTGGTAAATAGACAATAATAGTGCATTGTCTTGACATATCAACGATATAAGGATGAGGCTTAGAAACGGGGAAATGCGAGGCTCTGCCGAGCTTTTTGCCCGTTTCGGGCCGATCTTATATCGTTGATATGTCAAGTCAATGCACTATTATTGTCTTTCTACTGCAATCTAGAAAACATTTTCAATTGTTGTTTAATGTGTTAATATTATTTATTTGATTAAAATATCGGGGTAAATCCCCTTTTAAAAAGGCCTCATCTCATATAAGGCGGAGAAAAATACAACACAATGAAATGTACATTACCTGTTGAAACCCGCAATCGATGGTGAACGAATTCGTTTGGGTATGGACTAAAATATCAACGATAAGCATAAAACATAATGATTTATAGTTTTCAAACAAAAAATATTAACAAGTGAAAGATGTTTTTCCAAAAATTGTAAAAGAAATAAGTTTGAGTCGGTCCACGCTTCGTTGTATACATTGGAAACAAGAACAGGTTGAAGAGGTCGTATAAATAATTAAATATAGTTTCGGTAACTACCATTTGAATATTCAAGAGGAAAAGTGATATCGGGTCAGTGACTGTATATGACATAGAAATATACAGTCAACACATTTTGACTGCTCAAATAGAACGAGTGCAATATAAACAAAGATAATAGGTAGATCGTGACATTTTGAAGATTTCAGCCTCCTCAGAATTTCTTTATATGTAATGGTTAAAACAAGCAGACATTACTTATATTTTAGGCATATGCTTTATTTGTTTCCTTATTAGTTGGCATGGGGTCATCAGACATAGCTTTCAAACTATAAACACAAAACAGGTGTGTAGTCAATTTGCTTCTAATTGGTCCAGTTGTTTAAGAGAAGAAATCGTTTTTAAAGGCTTAGAGACGGCGGACGACCCCTGGCGACAGACAACATACACCAATTGATGAGACACAGTGCCATATCAGCTAGGTGATTTGAAAACATATAAAAAAGACTATGTGTTTGAAACAATACATAAGGACAGATAAACAAAAGAAATAAGCAGTTTAGTCGTATTGTTTCAGATCAAAAGCATGAAAGGAGAACTTCTGTTTGATCATATAGAAGAATAGCTCGCTTGATTCTAGTACACATTTAATTAATTATTCTGTGTTATATACATACCAGTTGCTACTTGAGCTTTGTTTGCACAAAAGTTGTCACCAATGTTTTCTAGGTCTGAAATAAATTTTTGTTCTGATTATTAATTTGAAATGTTTAGTCTGTAAATAAAACATTTGACAATTTCCAGATGTTAAGGTTATTCAAATCGATTAACAAAAAAACGAGTTCATCACTTTCTTTTTACAAAAGGTTATTTGCTTCAATTAACAACGATAATTGATATGTTGTATGTTGTTGTTCTGCATGTTAATGTTATATGTTGGTTCAAAAGGGTAATGTAACCTAAGATCTAGACTGTGCTGTTACTGAGCTTTATATGTATATGTCTGTTAACTTTCAATAATTCCACTCGATGGTAACTTTGTGTTTTGTTGTTCATATAACGTCATATATACCAGTCCCCTGTTTTTCGTCTTTCAATTGATATCAGAGAACGGTTCAACACAACTTTATAGCAAACAGAATTCAAATTGTATTTGTTACATTATCGAGTTGAAATATACATGACTATGTATTCAGAAATGAACATGTTGAATATTTACATCAAATATCTTTACAACTTACTGTAGGTAAATATTAATAGATACGAGGAAAAAAATTGATTGGTTAAGACTATCGTTCGAGACATATACCCATCTGAAGATTGTCGCCACCTCATGCGACATAAACATGTAGCGCGGTTTACACATTTTAAAATCCTGGTATCTATGATGATTTCAATTATATATAACATTTCAACACTTTTTTCACAACATATTTATGGCCAATATTATGGTCAAGCTTATTTAAAGCGTATAATCAAATCAGAATGAAATACGAGTGATCTATTATTGATATGCGATTTGTGTCTCATAATTCTAAAATCCAAGGGATATGCGAAAATGGATGCACCTAAATATTCTAATTCAGGAAGTCAAAGAAATTAGTTGAATAAAATTTGACTTTGCCTTCCGAAGATATAAACGTGTGTTCAACCTTGGAAAGTCGGATAAACATATGGAAATATGAATTATTTGTAGTTCAACAATTCTTCACATCTCCATAAATCAAGAGTGAAAATGTTTTATATCAAATGTTACATTAAATATTAACTCTTATGATATTACTTATGATAAACTGCATTTGTATTTTTTGCATACAAAAAAGTTATGCATATTTCTTAAAAGAAACATTGAAAAAAATAGATAAGCGACATATCAGTTTTCAAGCAACCGCTTGGGAACTTTTATAGGCTGTTTGTTCAACAAACTTCACAAAAGGTGGTACCAGTTTTGTGTAAAAATCAACTACTCCGACAGTTTTCAACCTAAATCCTTGATGAAACTTAACGGAAAGCATGTACATGTACACATGTAATGCATCAATTATTTTTTATGGAATCATCTATCCCTACGGTTTTTATCCCAGATCCCTAACACTTTACAGAAAAATTGCACACCTGCTATTATGGAGTTGTGTGTTGAAGTGTCCCTACTTTTTGTAAAGCGTTATTAAGATATTTATTCCATTTTCCTATTTTATATTTCCATATATCTAAATATTCAGTATATATCATTCTATATTGTTTCAAAAACATACTGCCTGTTTGTGCATTTTTTTCTTCATTTTTCCAAACTTGGAAAATTTATCATATTTTTTTCAAATATTGTACCAATTTCATGTTAGATTCCTGACACATCAAAAACAGATTGCACACATGATTGAACTTAGTAATTTTTTTCAACAAAAAAAATACATACGATGGTACTTGTTTTGTGTAAACAAATGTGTCCTACAGTTATTCACCTAGTTACTTGAACATAAAATGCAAGTAGTTTGCATCTGTTATTATAGAATTGTTTGAGAAGTTTTTGTCTCATTCTCCTGACTTGGGAATTTTGTAAATTTTCCAGCTAAATTTTTATTTACTATAAGACTACAAAAAATGTAGATGCTTGGTTACAAACCTTCAACTCTTGAATAGTTGAAGGATTTTGTCGGATGTTCCTATTATGTATTTTTTTATGTTATCCATGATCACGAATTCAAACTATATTTTGGGAGGTCATACATTGCTTGCCATATGTGTATACTTCGCATTTTCCGTGATGAATTTTAAACTTTTCCTCAGAATAGTAATGGTTTGTTACCCTGCTTGCAGTTTTGCTTTGCCGAGATCTGAGGCATAAACTGTTGTCTTAACATTGTAACTTATTGTGTTAAACCAAGAATCTAGACTCTAATACATGTAATATATGACTACATGTCTCGAACATATAAAGTTGACGTAGGAATTCATAATATATTACCAAATAATAATCAACAATACAATAAAAAACTTGTAAATTAAGTAAATTTACAGGTGAAAACTACTCTTCAGATAGCTCATTTAAAAAAAAATATCAGAAGATATCAAGAGGCCTGTAGCACACATATACCAATGAACGAACAATAATAAAAAAAAACAACCCAACCAACACGCTAGGTGCTAAAAAAAAGGGTAATCATCTTTTGTTCAAGTAAATGTACCTAAATGGTCGAAAAACTATTTTTAATTTTGAGACAGCATTATCAAATTGTTTTTGATATTAAAAAATTAAATTCTGTGTTTTGAAAAATTTTTAAAACGCAAGAGACATCTACATATTGCATGAGCCCCCGTAGGCGCCTCCTCTTAAAATGTTATGGTTACTTGCTCTTATTTCGTATTATTTAAATTTATTATACTCAATTTACATTTTTTCAAATATTTGAATCTGAAAGTAACATTCACTTTTGTGAAGATTTTGCTTAACCGGAAATTCAAGAGAAAGATTATTTAAATGTTTGACAAAGCATCTGCATTTATGTTCAAAGACAATGTATCAGCAACAAAAGTCAAAATATCTTATTAATGCAAAACAACCTTTAATATTGAAAGAGACTAAAACAGATGACACCATGTTGTGTATTCAAATAATACATAGCCGTTAAATTTGTACCTACCTGATTCGAATTTGATGTCAGGCGAATCTTTATCCATTTCTAAAATATAATCAGCGATATGATACATTTTTTAAATTGATACCTCTCAATGTATTCCTTTGAATAACAACAAACAGCAAGATAAAGTAAATGAAGGATAAGATTTTAAAATTCTGGATGGACACTTAAATGTAGATCCATTAATTGACATTATGCATGTCTGAGTCAAAATAAACAAAACTTCCACTAGTAATTGCATTTTAGTCTCAAACAACTGTTTTTATATTAACCTTGTCGGAAAAGTCTGTACCTACAAACATTGTCTTCTTAAGAGCCATTCTGTCCGAAAACCATGCAAAATGAAAACAAATACTGTCCAGTTTGCATGTCGGAACTTTTGGGATATATTTGTATTTTTAAAATCTCATATACATTGTATAAGAGAAAAGTAAGAATATATCTTAGACTTCGTTATATCATGTCTAATTTTAGATACAGCGTCATTCGAATAAATGCTTAAAATCACCAAAATGTTGGTGAAAAATGTGTAAATTTTCAACTCATTGAATTCTGATATTTAACAGTTTTACTGGCCATGTAAACTTATATTTGCAAAAAACAGTACCTTCATAGACAAAAATTAACTATGTCTCGAAATATTTGTGTAGAAGGATATTTCTGTAGGGGGAATTATGAAAGGCCTTGTAGGCCTCAGCGAATTTTGTAGAAAGTTTGAGTCCATGAATCTCCTAAACTGGCAAATAATTTTTTACGAAATAATTTTCAGTGAATAGACACTGGATATTGTAAAAAAATATCAAAAATCCAATTTTGGCAAATTATCGCAAGATATTAAAATATTCTTGCAAATAAATTCTCTTTCTTTTCAGTTTTATAATTTCAACTGGAACACATAGCATTGTTCATATTTGTACATATTGTATATAATTCATATAGAGATACATTTGTGTTATACATTTTCTTTTTTTTTTCAATATTTAATTTATAGGTTTTTATTTAATTGGATACTATATTTGGTATATGGGTTCTTTGCAACGTCTACATGTTTGAAAGACAGAGTTCAACTGACCTCATCATCATTTCATGGATCATTGACCAAGATTAAAATTTCGTGGTTAGGTCTATTTCTCAGATACTATAAGCAGAAGGTCAACTATATGTGGTGTATGGAATGATTGTGAGGGGTACATGTCAGTGTGGCAGATATCACCTGACCTTGACCACATTTTCATGGTCCATAGGCATATATTAAATTTCTGTGTTTTGGTCTATTTTTCAAATATTAATATCAAATGGTCAGCTATATTTGGTATAGGGAATAATTGATAGGTGTACCTGCCTGTCTGGAAGGTATCACCTGACCTTGACCTCAATTTCGCGGTTCATTGGTCAATGTTAAAATTTTGTGATTGGTCTGTTTTCAATTACTATAAGCAATGGGTAAACAATGGTGTTTGGAATGATTGTAAGGTGTACATGTCTGTCTGAAAGGATTTATCTGACCTTGACATTATTGGCATTGTTTATGTCGGTCGGTCGATCGGTTTGTCGGTTGGTCGGTCGGTCGGTCGGTTTGTGTATCTGTCTGTTTATATATCTGTTTGTAATACATCTACAATTTCCTCTCAACATACTTAATTAGAAAATGTAGACCAAAAAGGAGAAAATCAGTAGTGCTATAGTGTAGCTACCTATGGTCCGCAACTCATCCGCTACCACTAAAAAGTTCAATGTGAAAGTTATATGATATACTAATTAAATATTTAAATTGTGCATCCTATATTTAGTTTCTATAGGGTGTGCCGCCAGTGGGTAATTATTAACGGGTCCAAATAGGAGAAATACTATCAATGTATATAGGATATCACCTGCTAAACCACAGTTCCTTCCAAACTAATATTTTTACATTGAGTACTATGATCATTTGCCGAAATGGGAATTTTTTTATATTCATAATTTTAATATTTTGTAGATATATGATTAGGGTTTAAAAAAAAGTAATAGAATTCAAATATTTTTGCCACTTAAGAAAATATACACTTTTGAAAATTAGCAAATTTAACCATTTTGGCACTTTCGTAAAACTGACCAGAATGAGTAAATGTAGGAAACAATGTCAACCTCAGGTTTTAACATATTTTGAAAATAATAAAATACAGTAGTATGATGATAAACACTGATATTTGGCAGCTCAAAAATGCTAAAATTACCTCATTTTCATCTTTATTGTGACCATAAATAGCTATTTATAGATGGCGCTCCACTAAGAGACTACCATTGAACATTTTTTTTAAATATTTTGCACAGAGAGTAGTTACCATGGAGTTATTATGTATACAAAATTCCAGGTTAATATGATAACATTGCATTTTGAGCTTATTGCATGGTTTTCTGGAAGACTTACTCTTAAGATGAAAATTTTGTTTTCAAATGTTTTGTTATTTCAGTACTGTTTGAATATTTCTCTTGCAGTCAATCCAGTTCAATTCAGTAGATTTTAGTCAATTCAGTAATTTAATTTGTTTCATTTGTACGGATAAAAAAGTATTAAAACCAATTTTTACGAGAACAATTGAAGGTCTTTCCATATCAAATTGAAAACAAGTAATAAGAAGCTACCTGCAGTTTACTCAAAGTAAATATTCGTAGGTTTCTTCAAACTGATTGAAAAATATTTGGTTTCTACATAATTTTGTTTGAAATATGGGAGATAACTTGCTACATCCGGTTTAGAAAATGTCACGTTTGCCCTCAGATGATAGCTTTACTCACACTGATTCCTAAAATATATGGTTTGTGTATACTTTTGCTTGACATAAGGGAGATAACTTGCAACTTCCGGTTTAAACAAATTCACTTTCGGTACCATCTGATAAGTTACTTCACACTGGTTCGAAAAATATATGGTTTTCTAGATACATTTCAATGAAATCAGTGCTGAAAATGGCAACTTCCGGTTTACAAAAGGTCACTTCCGACTTACCTTTTCACAATCATATATCTGCTAGCCTAATGCAAAAGACCCCATAGCAATATCCTGCATAAATATGAATTTATAAAGAAGATCAAAATCTAAAACGTCAAATTTACCTTTGACCTTGACGAAAATTTCAAGGTCATAGAGCAAGGGCCTCATATCAAAAGACCCTAGATCTCTCCAAACTTCACTGATCTAATAACCGTAGTTAATTTGAAAAAATCTATACATAAACTAATTTCTCCTGGGCGGAAAATGTTCATTCACTGTCACCATGTGTACTGCGTATTTCCAGCGGGTAGAGCTTCACAATTGGACGGTTGGTATTTCCTGTGTCGATCTTGATAACCGCGGATCGAATGAGCCCATCTTTTCCACGAACTAAATCTTGTACAACTGCTAGTTTCCATATTATACGATTGTATCATTGTATATTTGTACAATGTCTCCTATTTGTAATGTGTGTTCGTTTCGTCCAGATGTACGGTGGAATTCGCGGAGTGACGTCAGATATTCGTGTTTCCATCTTGATCGAAAGTGGTTGATAAGTTCGTTTTGTCTCTGTTGATTTTTTTTCAGTTTAACGTGCAAATCTTCAGATGTGACACTGTCAATATTTTGTTCCGATCGGGTGTCAAGTCGGCGACCATATAACAGGTGCGCTTGCGTCAGCGGTTCGGGATCTTTAATGTCAGTAGAAATGTAAGTTATCGGACGATTGTTTAGAGTTCCCTCGGTTTCGATTACAATTGTATTTAACATTTCCGTAGTGACACATGACTTTCCTAGTACTTTTTCGTGAGTCCAATAAGGCGTTCCCAGAAACCTCCAAACCACGGTGCTCTGTTGGGTATGAATTTCCATTCAGTTCCTTGATCCGCAAGTTTTTCTTGTATACGGTTGTCTTGGTTCGATCTTGTTATCCTTTCGGCGGCTGCCTTAAAGGTTGTTGCATTATCGGACAACATAATCCTTGGTATAGATCTTCTGGCAACAAATCTTTTAAATGTAAGTATGAAAGACTCCTCGGTTAAATCTGTGACTATCTCCAAGTGTATAGCACGTGTAGCGGCGCATGTGAATAAACAAATATATGTTTTGTTTAATTCGCTGTATTTTCCTTTTGTGTACAAAGCTCCTGTAAAAACAACGCCGGTTACTGAAAAAGGATAATCGTACATGTAGTTGACTCGGTCTTTAGGTAGCGGTGGCGGATCGGGTGCGCCGCAAATCAATGCTGATATTTTAATGCATTGAACGCACTTACGAATTTGTGATTTTACGCACTGCCTTATTCGGGGTATCCAATATTTCTGTTGAATATAAGCGATTGTACTGTAAAGTCCGGCATGTAAAGTATTGGTGTGCGCATCCATTACAATTAAGGACGTAAAACTATGATGTGTTGGCAATAACAACGGATATTTTGTACTCTCCTTCACAGGTGCATTTTGTATTCTCCCGGTACATCGTAGTAATCCATTTTTGTCTGTGTACAATTTAAGTTGTCGAACAAGTGGCACTTTTTTCCGCGAAGATGAACTCAAGTTATCAAGTTCATCCTTAAAAATTTCCTGTTGTACTGCTCCTATTAGAACGTGTAATGCTTTATATCGCTCCATAACACTGATAAATCCGATTTGCCGTTTATCTTTTGAATTCCGTAAGTTCTGTATAAAACGCAAGACGTATGCTGTTACTCTAATTGCTATTTCTAAAGATCTGAATCGTTGTATTTCTATGCATGGAATTGTTTGTGTTGAAGCATTTATACTTTCATCGTCTGTATAGTCATCGCTGATAGTTACCATCGTGCTGCAGTCTTCTGTGTTCCTCGTCCATGTCGACTGCGAGTTAAGTAATAAGCTGGATTGTCATCTGTTGGGCAGTAATTCCATTCAGCATTCTCTGTTAATTTTCTTATTTCTTTAAGTCGATTTGCTACAAACTGTTTCAAGTTTTTTGAAGATTTAATCCAACTCAAAACAATTTGACTACCACTCCACATAATTATACACATTTTCTGTTGTTTTGATTTTAAGGAGATGCATGGCTAATCTGG